CAACGTTGGAAAAGCATTGCTTATTTGCTTTATTTATACTACTTTGGGAGAAACAAAAGTGAAAAGGTGAATATTTTTAACAAAATTAGCACACGCTTTTGGAAAATAATATCATAATTTAATGAATGACTGATTCACCTTAATGACTACTGCTTGCATATTTGTGGATTTGTGGATGAGCTAATGTACTACTAGACTGATTTTCTTTAAGGATTTAAATTTGCTAAGTAAAAGTAAAAAGTGTGTTCATAATGAAATCTAGACAACGTCACGTTTGCTTATTAATATTGTTGAAGTTAAAATTGTTTTGGTATGTTCGGTCTTTTGATAATAAATTTAATATTAAATGGTTCTTTATGACACATACTCAATTTTTTTCTTTTATGGGTTTTGGTCAGGAACTATGTCAGCTCAAATTGCAATCCGAATCATGGAGGGATATATTACTGAACGGGTCCATTGATGTTCGACCAATTTTAAAACATTTCTAAAAATAATGAATAATGAAAAAAAGCCTCTGTCAACTATTTTTGAAATCATAAGGACGGTATTCTATGACTTTAATTCCCTCGGCCTAAGATTATATAAGCTTGTATCTATACATTAATTTACATAATTATTTGATCCAAGTTGACATATTTTTCATCTCACTAGAATATCTGCAGATCTTTGCCAAAAATTGACATCAGAATTATAGACTAATTTAATTAAGCATGAAGATTTCAATTCTGCAGTACATTAATTTTGCCATATACATGTACAGTATGAAAAATCAATAACATATGAAATCGGAATGGGCTATTCCATTTAATATCCGTACCCCCCCCCCCTGTCGAGGATCCCTGGAATTCTTCAGGGGTAAAGGGTTTTGAGCTTGGAATTCTTCAGGGGTAAAGTGTTTTGAGCTTGGAATTCTTCAGGGGTAAAGTGCTTTGAGGTTGGAATTCTTCAGGGCCGTAAAGTGTTTTGAGGTTGGAATTCTTCAGGGGTAAAGGGTTTTGAGCTTGGAATTCTTCAGGGATAAAGGGTTTTGAGCTTGGAATTCTTCAGGGGTAAAGGGATTTGAGCTTGGAATTCTTCAGGGGTAAAGGGTTTTGAGCTTGGAATTCGTCAGGGGTAAAGGGTTTTGAGCTTGGAATTCTTCAGGGGTAAAAGGTTTTGAGCTTGGAATTCTTCAGGGGTCAGTGGCATGCTGGGTACTATTTTTCTGGAGGGGCCAGTGGGCTGTCAACCAATATGCGCCCCTATAATGTTATACTTGATAAACGAGGGCCGAAGGCACGAGCCGAGTGCCGCAGGTGCGAGGTTTGTCTAGGGGGGTCCGGCGGCATGCTCCCCAGGAAAATTTTTGAATTTAGAGTCTCTGAAATGCCATTTCCTGGACTTTGGGGGAAGATTTGACAGAAATCTGATGGTCAGGAAACGGCATTATAATGTGTCGAAATTTGCAATTTGGTTAGAATTTAGTAGTAGTACTTAAATTATGCAATGCTAACTACTTCCAGCAATCAATTTAATCCCAATTCTGTTCTCTACTGATCTACTGTTCTGAGCACATTTACAACTTAAAGCTCTTTTATACAATAACACACGCACCCCACGCACATGTATTTTAAGGTTTCCTTGCCTGGCTGCCAAAAGGGCATGTTTCAGCATTATTTCATTACTCACATTACTCATGTTTCTTGCACAAACAACTAAATTGCGTACACAACTTTACATCAGTTATCATAACTTCAACTATCTGATTTGCACCGCTCTCGTGATTCGTGAAGCATAATAAAGGGCATATTATAAGGGCATAATACCAGCAAAAAAGGGCACAATTCTCGTGATCGCTTCGATCAAACCTGACCAATATTCCGGTAATGAGACATTGCCTGTGATCACTGATCATATTTCTATATGAACGATTTCGTGTGAGCTGTAAGGTAGCAAATACGGTTAGGCAAAATAGTCTGTAATTTAATATATGTCGCCTATGCACTTAGTCTGTTTTATACTGTAGCCTATAAACACGTCTTTTCTTGGCGGAAGTAACCATATTTTTTCGAGAATGTGTTTTTTCCCACCCACTTTCAAAATTTGGCGCCCCATTTTCATTTTTGCATCCCCCAAGAATTGCCAGCTGGGGGGGGGCGTGCCCCCCCCTCCCCCTGCCAGCACGCCACTGTCAGGGGTATAACCATAAAAAAAACAGGTATCCTCGACAGGGGGTGTACGGATATTAAATGGAATGAGGGCCCCCTATACTTTTTGCGTGAAGCGCTTATTTTACTTAGCCGTGAAACGTGATCAGGCCCCCTATACGTTTTGCGTGAAGCGCTTATTTTACTTAGCCGTGAAACGTGATCGATGATTTTCTTAATCCGTGACTCGTGAAAAGGCAAAATACTTTTACGTGAAAGCATATTGTGAAGAGGTATAGGGGGCCCTCTGGAATAGCCCAATGGAGAATATAAACTAATTATCATTTCGACAGTTCTCTATTAAAGTATCATAACATGCAACATGATTAATACAGATGAGCAAATCGAGGACAAAATACTGAGTACCTGAGTCGCTGTTTGTTTTCTTAGAAGCTGGCATTTTCTGTAAAACAATTTATTAAATTAATATAGATGAGTGAAACAAACTCCTTCGCACATAAACCAAAACTCCTTTGCACAGACAGTAATAAATTAGCGACCTTGTAGAATTCTGACTGTTCCACTGCTATTCATTTTTCAACTACTGTTAATTTTCAAATTGTGATCAAAATGACAAAATCAGCCAAAATTATAGAGCAAGATGGCGCCAAAAACTTGAACCATGAACCATCACAAGTTCACAACTTCCGGTGAATTCAAGTGTCAAGGAATAATAATTTATCAAGGAATAGAAACTTCACTGTAAAACGAAATGCTGCTTGATTTACCAAGTATTATTGTATTTCATAATTTAAATTTGTTTGAAGATTATTAAGAACAAAAATAATATAAGAACACAACATAAAGTCAATAGGTTTAACCATTTTTTACATTTAATACAAAGGACTTTAAGGAATGTTTAGACACTTATAGAAGGAATTATCAGGAAGTGCGATATTAACAATTAACAAATTAAAACAAAACGCAAGCTCTGCAATCTGTTATCTGTTTAGAGCACAGAATATTTTGTGTTTAGTAGAACACTTTTAAATTTATCAATTATCATCATTAATACACACGAAGACGAATGTATTTACAGTGGCTGGTGGCAGACGATTGGAAGTGGCTTTCAGACTTTAATTCATTGTGCAGTGCATCTGTTTCAAGGTATATGTATTATAAATATAGTGATACAAAGAATTTCACTGTTAAATAAATGAGAATGCATCATGCATGGTAATGATTAACACTAAGATTGTGCGAGACTATAAAGCTTAGGATACACAGGCACTATTTTTCTGGTGACGCCAATGAAATGGTGGTAAAATTATTGGATTGCCATCACGAGAGGGAAATATTACCTGTGGATGTACGTATCATATGCTCTGCGACAGCATTAATGCAAACCATCCTGCAATTGTTGCTGAAATTTCAAATTATTTCATTTTGGGCAATGATTGCCAAGAATTGGCTTGTGTGATCAGGGTTGATGATTGACATGAGTCTTGACCAGCCAATGAAAAACGTAATTAAAAAGTTACCCGCACCCACACACGCCATATTGAGGGTTTTTTCAGTTTCTCAATACCACAATTAATGGAGGTGTAGCAGGGTCTTAGCCAGCCTACTGTCCAGCCGTCTTTTGGACGGCCATTTTCAAATTTGGACGGCCTTATAAAAAAGACGGCTTTTGGACGGTTCGCTATCATGGTGACGCCTTTTGGACGGCTTGGTAAAAGCTGTAGAGTACCTTACAATAAAATATTAAATATTATTATAATCCGAGTAAGCATGCGCCGCTAGTGACACCTATGCAAATTTTATTGACCTTTCAGGAAATAGACTTGCCTAGTTTTCAACTATATGGCAACTTGCTTGTGTGTAATGGTTGGAAATGCAGAAGCAAAAAGGGTGTTTAGCAATGCAGAATCGCATATGTACTACTGTACATAGTCAGTGTAGTGAGTAGTGACATAGACAGTCTGAATAATTGAATATATTATTATAGTTTTTGGGTGATTCTCAAGTGCGGTCACTGATTACTCCCAGCATTCGGGAATAATCACATTGAATTACTGGTGCATGAAGTGGTGCCATGGTTCCATATGGCAATAATTGGGTGTCATAAACGAAATTTGGACACCCAAGTTGCAAATTCTGTCTAAGACCCTGAGGTGTAGCCATCTTGTGCAGTGGCAGTTGCATTACCATCACTGTAGAATTGCTTATGTATCCAAAGCTTAGCCATTGTATTGGTTTTTGAAGTAATATTTCAAATCCGAGTTAGTGTTTTAGACGTGGTTTCTAAATACAAGTGCCATTGTTCATGGCACTGGGGATTTGGAAGCCAAGTTTAAAACACTAACGAGGATTTGAAATTGCTTCTCACACGTCATCAGACTTTCATAGCAATGAGGCATGAAATTATTAGATATTCAAAAAAGTGAGCATGGGCATTAACGATTACATTCACTTGAAAGTTTGCATGAAGTGCAACGAAGCATTCAGTTCACTTTCGTCGTGAATAGATGAATTTTGATATTTGTGGTGTTACTCTGAGTGTATATCCACACCGGGCGAGCTTGAAAAATATGCCCGGCCACGGTGGGATTCGAACCTACGACCTTTGGAATACTAGCCCATGTGAATACTAGCCATATGAATTTTGTTGGCAAAAGAGCATGGTATCTTCTTATTGTCGTAAATAAGTAGACAAACATTATACATTGATAACATGAAGTATTGACTGTTTTCGCGCCTTTTTCATTGACGCCATGTTGTTGTTATTCCACGCTTTATATTATCGAAAGAACCTGTATTAATCGTAACAATATACCAATAAATACTTGAAATTATGGTGCCGTGACCAGGATGGAAGAACAACAACGTCTAATAGCATCACGGAGAGCACACAGAGCACATTTAACGAAAGTTTTGAAGAAAATTACCGAACTAAAAGAAGTAGAAGACGATCAAAATGAACAGCATGCTATTGTGACACTTGGCAGTTATTTAGAGCAACTCCAACGGAAAGGACACGTACTATCAGAACTAGACAATAAGATATTTGAACTATTCACAAAACCTGAAGATTTGGAAGCAGATATTATCGAGGCAGAAGACACACAGAGTTTTATCGCAGAGACAATTTGTACAACTAAAAATTTTATTGAGAACAAAATCAAGTCCATGAACATAAGTCAGCACGACCAAGCAGCAGGAGCGAGTAACAATATTCAACAAACGCCAGAAAGCAACCAGGCAACAAGCAGTGAGAGTGAACCAGCAGGAAATCAACCATCAACACCAGAAGAGACACAACCACAATCAAGCACAGTAAGTGAAAATTTACCTGTCAATTTAAACCAGCAACCCACTACAAGTACGTCAGTTACAAGTACAAACCCCACCATTTCGAACAGTAGTTACAGCATGAGTCGACTCCCAAAGTTAGCACTACCAACCTTTGACGGCAACCCCTTGAATTGGCAAACGTTCTGGGATTCCTTCCGCACAGCAGTACACGATAACCCGTATCTAAGCAACATACAGAAACTGAACTATTTAAGAGCCCAGTTAATTGGGGAAGCATCAAGGTCAATCGCTGGATTTCCTTTAACCGAAAATAACTATCTAGAGAGTATCAAACTATTACAAGAGAGATTTGGTCAACAACACAGAGCAGTGAGTGCACACATGCAAGCATTATTAAACATACCAAGCCCGACAAGCAGTGGCGTGCTGGCAGGGGGGGCCGGGGGGCCACGGCCCCCCAGCTGGCAATTCTTGGGGGGCGCAGAAATGAAAAGGGGGCGCCGATCCCGCGCCAAATTTTGAAAGTGGGTGGGAAAAAATGCATTTGCAAAAATATAGTTACCTCCGCCAAGAAAACGACAAAGTGATATATTAAATTACAGACTATTTTGTCTATTAAGCCGTATTTGCTAATTTGCTACTTCACGGCGCACACAAAATCATTTATATAGGAACATGATCAGTGATAAAACGCAATGTCTCATCACTGAAATATTGGTCAGGTTTGGAAGAGATCACAGGAATTATGCCCTTTTTTGCTGCTATTATGCCCTTATATTACGCCCTTTATTATGCTTCACGAGATGAGAGCCGGCGCAAATTAGATAGTTGAAGTTATGATAACGTAAAGTTGTAATGAGTAATGTAAGTTATGAAATAATGCTGAAACGCGCCCTTTTGGCAGCCAGGCAAGGAAACCTTAAAATGCATATGCGTGGGGTCCGTGTATTATTGTATAAAAGAGCTGTAAGTTGTAAATGTATTCAGATCACTAGATCAGTAGAGAATAGAATTAGGATTACATTAATCGCTGGAAGTGGTTAGCATTGCATAATTTAAGTACAAATTGCAAATTTCGACACGTTATAATGCCGTTTCCTGACCATCAGATTTCTGTCAAATCGTCCCCCAAAGTCCAGGAAATGGCATTTCAGAGACCGCTCTAAATTCAAAAATTTTCCTGGGGATCATGCCCCCGGACCCCCCTAGACAAACCTCGCACCTTCGGCGCTCGGCTCGTGCCTTCGGCCCTCGTTTATCAAGTGTAATATTATAGGGGCGCATATTGGTTGACAGCCCACTGGCCCCCCCAGAAAAATAGTACCCAGCACGCCACTGCCGACAAGTACCTTGTCTAGTCTAAAGAGTTTCTACGACACATTGGAAACACATATCCGTGCACTCGAAGCGTTAGGAAAATCACACGATTCATATGGGGACATTTTGATTCCTATAATCCATACGAAATTGCCAGCAGACTTACGAAATTGCCAGAACACAACACTAATGAATGGAAACTAGATGAGATCCGAAAGGCAATACGCAGAGAAATCGACATATTAGAAGTAGGCGAAAATAACCCCTCTAAGCAACACCCAAATGAAATTTGTCCAGACCCACCTACAGCAGCATTTGCCATTGGACAATCAAAAAACTCGACATACAAGCCCCGTCATGTACCATCAACCACAGCAAAGCGAGCATGTGTTTACTGCAAAGGTTTGCATAGTCCAAATAACTGTACTGTAATAACGGACAAGAAACACAGACACAACATAGTGCGAGATTTCAAACTATGTTTCAATTGTCTTAATGATAATCACATTGTGTCCCAGTGCAAGACAAGGGGTCGATGCAAAATTTGTCATCGCAAACATCACACAAGTTTATGTTCAGCAGAAAATCCCCCACCTCCCAACCAAGATAAACAGGACCCCACACCAAATGTTCCAAACCAATCAGTAAATACAATTAATACCGCCCCAACCGAAAACATGGCCACACCCACATCCATTTCACCCGCAGCAACAACGCCCACAACCATTTCACCCACAACAATTCAACATCTAAGTGAAAACAAACACAAGTCAACATTGTTGAAGACAGCCGTCTCTCCAATTGAGTACATTGGGTCAACAGTTACTGCCCACATTTTGTTTGACGAAGGGTCTCATCGTTCATTTATCACCGGTAGCTTAGCCAGGAATGTGGGTCTAACAGCTGAACGTGAGGAAACCCTTTCCCTTTCCACATTTGGTGGGACAACTACATCAGTAAGAAGAGTAGAAGTAGGTACCATCAACTTGCAGACTCCTGTAGGAGAAAACATTCCCATTGAAGTTATCATTGTTCCCACAATTGCTGCCCCTTTACAAAGTTTTACTACCATTGATTTGCATAGTTTGCCCGACCTTAAAGGACTGACATTTGCACACCCAATAACGAATGAGCATACCTTTGACATTGATTTATTGATTGGAGCAGATCATTATTGGAATGTCGTTGAAGATGAAATAATCAAGGGTTCTGGTCCAACAGCAGCAAAGTCAAAGATTGGTTATCTCCTGTCAGGACCCATTCCACTGACCAACCAAACATCTGCGTTAAACACCACCATAGCAAGGATGATGAATTTGAATTCCGACGTTTTTGGGAGCTAGAGTCAATTGGAATTCAACCACGTGAAAGGGACGATACATCAGATTTCTTGCAACA